GAGGCTTTATCCACGACGCGTATTATATTCCAACGATACGATTCAATTCTTTTTTTTTTTAACGAGGGGGAAATGCATTAAGCACACCCGGCGATCCCAGCGGGCTCGATCGCCCGCGGTATACCCACTAAAACCCCCCCGATGACCAACGTCGGGCATTACGGCGGCCGTGAGCACACTAAGAAGAACTCCACCACGGCCGCCGTGCCCAGGCTCCCCTAATCGTTAGGGAGCCCATCTCCTCAATTTCTCTCGACGCCAGGGGCCATACCCTGACGCCGACCGCCTTGGGACCGGTCACGAAGACGGCGGCGCCCTACCGCCAGCCGTCTCGGTCCCCGTGGCCCCTCGCGCGACACGCCGGGTCACCGTGACTGTGACCCATGACAAACGTGCGCGCAAGGGGCCGTCTCACCATTCTGGCCGCCCTCGATCAGGGCGGCCGGCGGGCAGGCAGGCCATTAGGGGGCTCTGGGCACCCCGGTATCGATCCCTCCAGCTGTGTGGGGATCGGCCGGTAATACGGCTGGACGCCGCCTCCAGGCCCGCCTAACCCGTCTTCTCTCTTGACGAGCGGGATCGAAGCGTTCCCAATACCGCTCGTCTGCCTCCTTCTGCGATATGACTGCATCGCAGAAGGAGGCTACCGCATTCCACGACCTCTCGCTGTCGATCATGGCAGCACCTACGGCCAGCAGCGAGAGGTCCCCACCAATCTGTATTTGGAGTGCCCGCCTTTGGCCAGCAAAGGACGGACACTCCTCCAACGTGTGTTGGGCCGTGTCCAGCACGGTCCTACACTGATGACACTCGGGCATCGCCTCCGCACCCACCTTATGTAGGTACTCACCGAAACGTCCGTGCCCGGTGAGCACCTGCGTGAGCCGATAGGTGAGCCTGCCATGCCCGCGGTCCAGCCAACCATCAAGGTTGGCCAGAACCGCGCCGACAGTGCGCTTGCGGGCAGCGGGGCTGTTTAACAGCTTCCACCACCACGCATCTCGTGCGCACCGCCGTGACTGGCGCTTCCATCGTTCGACCGCTTCAGCCGGCGGGTCCTCCCCGCTCCGGCGGTGCTCCCGCCGACGCCGAAGTTTTCAGGCGTCGGCGGCCGCCTGGAGGTCAAAGGGGAGGTATCCCGCCAGGATCAGCGCCGCCTCCGTGGAAATGGTGCGGTAGCCCCTCACCACCCTGATGGCCACCCGCCGCTGAATGCGGCGGAGCATGTGCCGGCTTTGCCGGCACTTGGCCAGGGTGTCGGCCCATACGAGACATCCGTATAAGGCCATGGCCCGCACCACTCCAACATAGAGGCGGCGCACCCTCTCTTGCGGCCCCCCGAGATTGGGAATGAGGCGACCAAGCATGGTCGCCACCCTCTCAACCCGGGGGGACAAGCGGTCGAAGTGACCTTTGAAGCGCCAGCGGCCATCGATGTCCAGGCTGAGATATTTGATCCGGTCCTGGACATCGATGCAGGCTCCACCTATGCGGATCCGCGCCGGGGAGGTCGCCGCGACAGAGGCATCCCGTGAAACCAGACCGCCTCCGTCTTCTGCGGCGACACTTCCAACCCCAATGCGCGGATCCGGGCGACGACCGAGGCCACTCCCATCTCGGCGACCCGGCTCGTCCTCGTCCATTCCCTGCCCCCGGCGATAACGAACGTGTCGTCTGCAAAGCAAACGACCGCCACGCTGGGAGGTAGGGGCACGCCTAGCACGCGGTTGTACCCCACCAACCAAAGAACGGGGCCCGAAAAGGACTCCTGGGGTACACCGCGTGTCACCTCCCTCCGGTGCATACCGTACCGTCCCGGATATTCCACCCATCTATCCCGCAGGTAGTCGGCGAACACGGCCATCAGGTGAGAAGGCGCTCCAGACTCCCGGAGCGCCTCCCGTATCTTGCCCCAGGGCAGGGTGTTGAACGCGTTGGAGATGTCTAGAGACACCCCCAGCGCCACCCCGTCCCGGGACACGGCCGAGTGCGCGAGGGCCTTGACGTGCTCGATCGCGTCAAGCGTCGAGCGGCCACCGCGAAATCCATACTGGCACTCAGCCAGGCCGAGCTCGCCGACGCGAGACAGATGGGCGGCGAGGCGGGAAGCGAGCACACGCTCTAAAAGCTTCCCCGCCTCGTCCAGCAGGCAAACGGTCCGGTAGGTGGAGGGAGAATCCGCGGGCTTTCCCTTCTTGGGGACGAGGACGAGCCTGGCCCTCTTCCACTGTCGCGGCATACGATTCAATCCTTACCTAACCTTCCCAACGGTTACCCTTTACCGGGAGATACCGATCCTACGGTTACCCTTAATTGGGTGATACCAATCTTTCCTTTCTTATTCTTTACCTAACCTTCCCAACGGTTACCCTTTACTGGGAGATACCAATTCCCAGCAGCTATCTGACTTCGCGTCAGAGTCGTCTGGGATTTCTACTCCATCCTTAATCTTTGGATCCATTGAAAAAAACAGGACTAATTGTATCTTCTCCGATTCTTGAATTCAACCCACTCGCAGGGCTTACACGCGCGTCGCTATCGCCCTGGCTCGTAACACCCCCGACCAATCAGAGCGCGAGTATGCCGGTGGAGCGTAGGCTACGCGCTAGGTGCCCGTGCTAGCTGTCCGCAGGCGTTCCACCGGCATACTCTCGCTCTGATTGGCCGAAAGTTTTTGTTTCTGGAATATCTCCTTAACGTAGCCTCGAACAACATTTTCACTAAGGAAAAATTGTTTCAAATCACCTCCCCAACACCTCTGAACCACACCTTTCAAGGACCCCCAACATTTTGGGGTCATCCTGTATATTGTTCATAACTACTGTTATTAATTGTTATTGATTGATTGTTATTGATTATTAACTACTTGGTTATAGATTGTCACGAAAAAGAATGAACTTCTGCACTCCGAGCAGCGGACCGCCGTGTGCGTCAGACGGCCTTCTTGCACCAGCTGGTGTACGTGCGTCGGTGTAAATTCCTCGCCTCCCCTTCTGAAAAGGCCCAATGGCACCCGTCGCAGACGATGGTGCCATCCGAAGCTACCCAGGACTGACCCTGGATACACTCCCTCCGTCTAAGGTTGGCCAGGGTAAAGGCGTGAGCAGCCTCTCTGCTGGAGTGACCAGCGGAGGCATTTGCGTGTCGTCGAACGCGGGCAAAGTAGCTGTTTAAGATTGAAGAAGGGAAAAGAAACTTAATTAGTTATGGGTTATTACTAGGGGAGCGTTGTTCTTTAATTATATAGTCTTGTTAAGATACATACCATTTCCTTGTTTCCTGTAGTAACCCATTGTGCTTTATTGCGGTCCTTGTAGTTCACACGAAAAAAAAAAAACTTTGATAATGATTCGAAGGGGCCGTGCGATGGTTTATATAGGGTATATTAGGTATGAATGGAGGTGGTAGCGGAGAGTTCTGATTGGATTTAGATATTACGTCTTTACCTGTACTGTTTAGTAGATGTGGACATTCCTTATTTTTTCCGCGAGGTCTGCTGTAAGTGCAGGTGGACTTCTTGAAATTGGTGGTATGCAAAACGGTGGCGAGATCGTTGGTTGTATATAGGGTGATGCTAAATTCTGTTTTCTTATGTTTTAGTGTTCCAATCTCTATTTGTTCAATTTGTTTCTTTGATGTTATGTTGGATTTTGAACAACGATTCTTATAAAATTTTGTAACAACCCATATTATGGCAATTATGATAATTAGTATCCCTATCAAGGATATTCCATAGGTTAAGTAGGATGTTAATCTTTGCGTACGGTGATGTGTCGCTAAATTGTTTGCTTGTTGTTTGATTTCTAGTAAGGGAATGGATTTCTCGTTTATTTTGTCATGTAATGATCCTAGCGGTATTTATTGTTGCTGATAATCGGATATTATTTGTATATGATGAGTTGTAATCTGTGGTATCAGGTGCGTTATATTTGGGCTTGGTAGTTGTTTAAATGTCGAGTTTACTGTAGATGTTGTTTCTGCCGATGCAATCATTCTTGAATTATTTATTTGTGCCTGTTAATTCTTTTTTAGTTTCAAAATTTCTGGACCTTGTATCAGTTCCTAGCCTGCGGCGCGGTAATTGCATTTGATTTGTATCGGAGTTTCTCTTTGACAGAGTATAGCCATGTGTTTGTAGTTTTGAGTTAATTGATAAATATGCCGGTTGATTTTAATGATCTTATGTGACAATTTTTCCATCCTATGATACGTTTTTGAATAAAAAGGTCAGTTTCACAAATTGGTGCTTCTTCTAGGCTGTATAATGGCAATGTAAGCTGACAGATGTATTTGGTGGGGTGAATCTTGCATCCTTGTATGAAGCTTTCCGTTGGCAAGAGATATTCCTTATGAGTGTCATCGATTGCGAGGTATGGGGTTTGTGGTACAATGAGCATGGCACTGGAAATGTTATGTGAAATTGGTAAAAAGGATGGTAATGGATGTAGCCAATATAGGTTAAAGGGTGCTTTATCTAGGAGGGGAATTTCGATTGATATGAGCATTCTTCCATTTGAATATATTGTGCTGATTATGATTATTCTATAAAATCTTTCTGATCGTAGTTCTGTTAGGGAGAGGAGAAATTCATATGGTGTTGATTGGTTAATACGGGTACATGTTAGCTCGAGTTCATCGGGTGATAATATAGCTGGGTGTAACATTCCTAATTTAGCAAACATTGTTGCGTCTGTCAATATTAGTAAAGCCTGAAGGTATTCGTCCATTTGTCTGGATATTTGATACGTCCAAGACGTTGAGGCTCTTTGTAACTCCATCTCTGTCTCGACTTCATCGAGTTTAAGGAGACCTGCTGTTAACTGTTTTATTTTGTTATCCATTATTAAGGAAGAATTCCTTAGTTTTATTAGGTCTTGGTGAATGTCTTGGAATTCTGATCTAACAATGTGCGTCTGTTTTCCCAATAGTTCTGATAAGTGTTTTTGGTCTTTATAAATTTTGTCTATTTCCTGGTTATAATATTTTGCGTCGTCCTCTGTAAGCGTTCCAAAAAGGACGTTGCTAATTGTACCGATAAATCCCAAAGGTGCTGATCTTTGTGATTTTGTGGGCATTGGTTTTGTTAGACTATTACGTAAAAGTTGCTCGTACTGATTTGCATCTGATAATTTTCGTGTTTAATCGATTCTAATTGTATCCGCAGGACAATATGTCCAGTTGTAATTGTCACAAAGTGTTTTGATTCTTTTCATTTATGGTAGAATAATTGGCTTTGCATCGAGAATATCTTGAACACCTAGGGCTGTTACTACTTTACATTTTGCGTGAAAAATCCTAATAGGTAATTCTTCTTCATAGAACAAGCCTGGGTTACTTTTGAAAGGTGTAATTTCATAATCTCCTTCGATCTCATCGGCTGTGCTAAATACCCATAGGATGTAGCAGAGCATTCCTGTGATTGAGAAATTTTCCATTATGCGCTGTTAAATAAATTGAAATAAATTTCGTTTCCGGTACTGTTTTCACGACATTGAACAGGGATCAGCACATAATCAGCGGTCAGGTGTTTCGGGAATTTATTGTTCTACGAATTTGGTGTCTGTGCTGACGGCACGAGCGGCATGCGCGTCCGAGATTGGAGATATGAAGAACTCGAGCGTTGTATTAATACAAAATTGTTATCAATCTTGCTATGTTTGTTTATCAATTCTATTATTTAGTTTTAGATCTGTTATTTAAGTTGGCAAGGTTCTAAAGTTTTAACTTATTAAGCTTTTTATTACCGTATCGCCTATTATTAATCGATACCAAATATGATCATGTTTTAACTTATCGAAGTGTTTCATGAATTTTTGACCATTTTCCTTCATTAGAATAGCATTATTTTGTTCCGTGATATCGCAAATTTTAAATGGTCCTTCATAATGGGAATCGAATTTCCCTATTCGCGGTTCTTTTAGGACGTAGACAAGGTCATTCGGTCTGAACTTAACTTCGTTACTTTTACGATCGTAGTATAACTTGGAACGTAATTTTATGTCATCTATATTTTTTCGTGTTATTGACCGAATTTCGTCTAAGCGCTGTACTAAATTTTCTACATATGATGGGTAAGTTAGAATTTCGTTACGAGACAACGGCGTAAATGGGTCTCAAGCTAACTGACCAAATACTACTTCGTACGGAGTAAAATTAGTTGCTTCGTGTACCGAAATGTTGTACGAGTAGGTTGCAAAGGGCAATAGAAGATCCCAGTTTTCGTATCTTTCCAAATAGTGTTTCAAATATTCAGTGAGAACGATGTGGCTTTGTGTCTAGTGAACCGTTTGTCTAGGGGCGGTAACCGGATGTTGTAACGTGATTTATTCTAAAGACGCGGGCTATGCCCTGTATTAAATTATTGATAAAACTTCTCCCGCGATCGGTCAGAATAGTACGCGGTGTTCCGAAAATTGTGATAAAATAGCGTGAGAAGGCGTCAGCGACGGTAACAGCATGAATATCCGGTAATGGAATTGCTATACAAAATTTTGAAAGTTGGCATTGCATAGTTAAAATGTGCCGATTTCCGCTGGGGGTTATAGGGAGAAGACCAACAGTGTCAAGAGCCACTTTATCAAACGGCTTTGCTGGCGTATCCGTTATGAGCATTGGTTCTCGCGTTTTTATGCGAACGAGCTTTTGTTCTTGACAACTGTGGCAATTTAGTATGAAGTTTTCATGTCACGACGCATTCGCGGCCAATCGAAGTGACTTCGTATTCGCTGATATGTTTTTGTTACTCCTTTATGTCCCCCTATTAAAATTTCGTGATAATATCGGATGATATCCTCGCGTTGATCTTCCTCGAGTACTTTAATTTTCCCTGTGCATACTGTAATTTTTGTTGGTATATTCCAGAATATTTCTTCTAAATGCGATTTAAGGATATTCGCGTTGAAACGGTGTAAGGTTTCACCGTGTGCTCTTATTCGGAACGAGCTAATGCTCTCTCTCTCTATCGTAGTTCGGAGAACGATTAGCAAGCGTTCTAACTTTGATTCATTCATTTCGTGGAAGAAACTTTTTGTTCCGATGACGTTAAGGATTTTTCCTTGTTCGTAAGGAACAATTATTACTTGTCCTTCTATTAAATCTTTCGTTAATAGGCTCGCTTCCTGAAGTAAGCCCAGTGCTTTGAAAGTTTTACTTATTTGACTGGTTAATAAACAATCGGCTCGTATAAAATGGACATAATTATCTGAAGTAAATGTAAGGGTTGATTCTGAAATGGTTACTTCGCATTTTGCTTGTGATCGTGGTGTTGGCTCTCGTTTCGGAGGGTAGCCATGGCTTGAATAGCCAAAAGTTTCTGATGTAGCTATTGATTTCATTTTATCCATAAATTTGTCGAATTCGGACGTTAATTCTACTGAAGACGATTGCTGATGTGTTTCCATTGTATCAGACTTAAAATTCTTTCCATCCATGAGTGCGCTAGTATTTAGCATGATCATCGTTGATTGGGGAACTTTCAATGCTCCCTCAGGCAGAGGCAGCAACCAAGATACGCGTTTCGGTGCTGTAACTAGTTTCTGTGCATCCCTGCCTGACCTCATGCTTTCGCCCTGGCTTTCTAGATTTTCCGGCTCCGTTTTATCGTCGATACTGTTCAAGAAATCTATCTCTTCCTTAGAGAAGTCCGGACTAAACCAAATCGGATCACAGGTTTGAGTTCTTTCGTCTTCGTCGCTTTCGCTTCCGAATTCCTCTAGCCGCGTTGCGTTTATACCCATTAACGTTGAATTTGTTTGTGGTTCGGCAATTTCTAGGTCGTTTTCCGTTTGTGTTATCGCCGAAGGAGGATCGTCGTCGTTGAATGTTTCTTCTACAATAACAGTTAGTGGTTCTACATAATTAGGTCTCGGTTGTTCTTCCCGCCGCATTTGAACCCGTTGTCTGATTCCTTTTTGATTTGTCTCGGAATCTGTGACATTTTCAGCGGTTTCATCCTTATTTGGAGAAATTGGAAAAGCGTGTGGTACGGGGTTTTGCGATAAAGCGTCTGCGTTTGCATTTACTCGGCCTGGTTTGTAAACTATTTCATAATCGTAGTCGGCGAGTAATATTCTCCAGCGTGCGAGCCGCGAAGTTGGGTCTTTAATCGAAAATAGCCATTGTAATGGGTGGTGATCGGTAACGAAGAAAAATTTCCGTCCATAAATAAACGTCCTAAAATGTTTTACTGCATAAATAGTAGCCAGACATTCTTTTTCCGTGGTAGAATAATTTTGTTCAACACGTGTGATTACTTGTGACGCGTAGGTAATGGGCGGGTCTTGCCCAATTTTTCCTTGACTTAAGATTGCGCCAACTGGTGTATCGGAAGTGTCTGTGGTTATGAAAAACGGTTCATCATAATTTGGGTATCGTAGAACCGGCTCTTTACACAGGGCTTGTCTTAAGTCCTCAAAGCTTGCTTGATGCGTTTCAGATCCGAAAAATATTTAGCCTTTCCCAAACGATTTAATGTATCCGAAATACGAGGAATAGGGAATTTGTCTTCTATTGTCTTTGCATTTAATTTGCGAAAGTCGGCGACCATACGCCAACGTTTACTTTCCGCGGAGTCAGCTTTCTTCGGCACTACCCAAAGCGGAGAGTTTTACGGTGATTTTGATGGAATGATTATTCTTAAATTTTCTAGATTATTTATTTGTTTCTTAATTTCTTCTTCCTGCGATGGTGTAAACGAATATTGTCATGTATAAACGGGGATGGAATCAATTGTTGGAATATTGGGTCCCCGTTAACGAAGAATCTGTCTGAATATTCCTCCAGGGTTTTCGTTACTAGGTTACGTGCCGTATTATCGAGATGATCTAATTTCAATTTATCCATAATTGTATCAAGTCGTTCAGTAGAAGAACGGTAACTAATTTTGTGTTCCCCTAAATCATATGCTTCGTGTTCAGCGAGCTGTTGTTCTGAAAGCGGTGTGAGAGGACGCGGTGGAGGTGCTTGTTCCAAATTTTTCTCAGACTCGTTTTCTAATTCTGGATGTTCAGCGAGGAAAGCCTGCAAGGTTTCTCGTCCCCTTATGCATGATCGAAGAGCATCGTTCATTGCGGCTGAATTAGAGAAACGTATCGGGTGTACCGGGCGGCTAGTCATTACTAACGAGTGATGAAAATATGATACAGAGTCCTGTTCTTGTAGAAGATACGAACTACCTATTAGGTCTGATATTCCTGGAGGTCAATTTGAATTTTTAACAACATAAAATAGCGCCCAGCTACCATTAATTTTCATACAAGTGACGCCCTCAGTATAAATTTTTCCTTTTAATCCTTCTATTTCGAACCGGTCGCGATTAACGACGGGTGCGTCAGGGTGGACTGCGTCTAATTCTACTATGCTTAATACGGGTCCCGTATCAATTAAGAATTCGCCTTTTCCTGCCCCCAACTCTCGGAGGGAGTCCTAGGGGTCTCGTTCCTGAAGGTTACCGTACTCGAATTTGAGGAGGTTGCGCGGTCCGCGCCCGCTCTATCGTCGTTGCGTGAGCGGGCGCCGTAGGAGTTTAAATGTTTCGTCTGTTTACGATTTTCTCCGTGTTGTTGGCACGGTACCCTATCAATTTGTGATTCCTCATAATGTTGCGTACGTCGCGGTGGCGTTTGGTTCTGTGACACGCTCCTTCCTTGACTTGGTGGAGAAAAATTTTGCTCGTATCTCTTTACTGGAGCGGCACGTCTTTGGCGCGTGCGGCCTTGATAGCGTCTCGGTTCGTATGACTCGCGTCGCTCGGGTGGCTCTTCCGACCGTAGGCGTCGGTTGTTGTAGGGTGACACAGGACGGGGACGCGGATATCGCTTCTCAGTTTCGTAATAATCGTAACAATCGTAATTGTCTCTATCGTTCTCCCTGTTTCTACTATCTTCCCTAAGTGGCGAAGGACTATAACGCAATCTAGTGTACGCGGGGTACATAATTTTCGGATATTCGTACTCTGTTTCATCGCGAGGTTCGCGCCATTCCATCTTTCCCTTAGGATTGTCGTAGGGTGACGGGGGACGTGCCAGAAGCCCATACGCGTATGTCTCGTTCCTTGATGCGGTAGGTACAATTCGGTCGCGTCTTTCATGCTCTAACGCCAGATCAAATGCCTCGCCTAACGTTTCTGGATCGACTATCCA